ACAGAAAGGAAGGGATAGTCAGAGATATTGATGAAAGAGAAACATTAATCAGCTGCCTCCTGCACCCTCCCCGCCCAGGGTTAGGGGAGCCAGCATGGGTCAGGATAGAGGACCCAGCATGGCTCTCTCTATGGAGCATGCCCAAACCCCCACTCCCTTTCTCTCTCTCTCCTGCCCTCCCTTCCTCCTTTTATCCCTTCCTCCCCATGTACATGCTACCAAGGTACATGTCCTTGACCAGAATCAAACCTGGGACCCTTCAGCCCACAGGCCGATGCTCTATCCACTGAGCCAAACCGGTTAGGGCTGGAGGGATGAAATTTAAAGAAGGGTTTTGTAGAGAGGAGTTGGCATGACCCAGGGATTGAAGTTTCCTTCTCACGGTGCAGGGGTCTCAGGGTCCCCGGATGGGCGCCAGGGGCTCTGCTCGCAGAGCTGTGGGGCAGAGGGCAGAGCCCCATAAGGCCTAGTGATGAGGCCTGGGGGCTCCAGGACTTGCCCGCCCTGGGGCTTCTGCTTTTGAGCAGCTCCTGGCTCCCTCCTTAGCACTCCTTTTGGCTCCTGAGCCCAGCAACCTGGCAGGAAAAGATAAATACAGGCCCTGCGTCCCCACCCCTATGGATCTCACAACATGGCAACAGTTTCCAGGGCAGAGGCTGGATTTCAGGATTTGGGAGGAGAAGTGGGGGTTGGTGTGCTCGCCAGGGTGTCCTGTTCAGAGGTATACTTTTCTGTGGAGTCCTTGTTAACGGGCTTGACCCCTGGCCCGCCCAGGTGCACATCGGCTATGGGGCCAGGGGTCAAGTCAGCTATGAAGCCTGGATACTAGGCCCCTTCGCTGCCCCTGCAAGCTGAGGGCTGCATGGAGGGGGTGGTAGGGCCGATCAGGGCCTGACAGATAAGGAGTCTGATCTGGACTACGACGCTCCAACCTGAGCCCTTGCTGGCAGAGGGGCTTGGAGGAGTGAGGTGACCAGTGAGGTCGGCAGTGTCTTTGACCCGGTGCAAAGGCTGACGAGACCTTGGAGACAGATTCTGTGTAGCATCTGTGGATGCCCCATGGCTCCCCATGCCCTGCAATGCACCCTCTGTATGACCGTCTTAGTGAGTGTTACCTCCATGGGCTGCCTCCAGATACCCAAGCCAGCATTAAAAAAAAAAAAATCTATCTATATCTATATCTATATCTATATCTATATCTATATCTATATCTATATTTTTTTATTGATTTTTTACAGAGAGGAAGGGAGAGGGATAGAGAGTCAGAAACATCGATGGGAGAGAAACATCCATCAGCTGCCGCCTGCACACCTCCTACTGGGGATGTGCCTGCAAACAAGGTACATGCCCTTGACCGAATCAAACCTGGGACCTTTCAGTCTGCAGGCCGACACTCTATCCACTGAGCCAAACCCCAAGCCAGCATTTTGGAGCCATCTTTGCCTTCCTCCCCATTGTCCATCCCCGCAGCAGTCCTGTTGGTTCCACTGGCTCTTCAATGGTCCCCCTTTCCCAGTTTCAATCACCCAATGTTTACTGAGCACTTTTTAAAGCCATTGCTGCTCCAGGTGTGGGGACAGAGGAACAGCTGAGGCAGACAGCCCCTGCTCTCCAAGGATGGGGTCTGACAGGAGCATGACCTGTGTGTACGCACTGCGCCCATGCACATGGACCCAGTGCAGAGGTTGAGGGTGGTACTCAGGAGGTGGGCAGAGGCTGGCAGAGGACTGGACTGTCCCCTTCCTATGTCCTTTCCTTCTCCCTCTGTGCTTTCTCAGCACCTGAGGAGTCTGGGGATTGATTGGGTGGGACCTTCCGGGTAGCAGGCTGGCGGTGGGTGGAACAAGGAGAGGGGCTGGGCGAGAGGTGGAGAAGTGGGAGTCATCAGCACGGTGACACCCCCTGGCAAAGGTCTGCAGCTGAAAGGGGTATAGGCCCAGGTCAGAGCCCTGGGGACCACCACTTTAAGGGATGAGTGAAAGGACAGCCACTCAGGAAGGTCCCTAGGGAGGAGAGAGCAAGGAGGTGAGAAGAGTCTGGGGGGAGAGGAGGAGGAGGGAGTGGTCCTTGGGGCCACTGCTGCAGGACAGGGGGTGGGGGACTGGAGACCTCTGAGGAGCAGTTCCGGGGAAATGGAGTCTCTAACCAACCTGAGAGCAGGCAGGAGCTGCCTAGACGGGGCTGAATTTGACTGCTGCCCTGGGGAGGTGCGCCTGGACTGCACACAGGAAGGAGTGTTTCAAACCTGGGGCGAGGCCCCGGGTCCAGTTCTTTGTATGCCTCGCTGTGTGTCCTGGGGCCAGTCCCTGTCCCTCTCAGGGCCTCGTTTCCCCATCTCAGGTCCATGTCTCTAGCTCATTGATGGTTTTGGCCTGGCAAGGATTTGATCTCATGAGGGGACTGGCAGGGGAACTGAGGAAGGCTTGTCCTGCCTCCTGCCTCCAGCCTGAGAGCCAGAGCAAATCAGGGACCAGCAAGTGGCTGAGGGGTCAGAGCCCCGTGAGGGAGAGCTGGGAGGGCAGGCGCCAGAGCCCCCAGGTCTCAGTGGGAGGCCAGCCTCGCAGTCTTGCTGACATCAGGGCTGGTGAATGTGGAGGGAGTTCATCAGGTTCATCAGCCCTCACCTCCCTCCCAGCCTGGTACCAGGCAGGAGCTGAGCGGGAGGAGGGGCAGGGGGAGGAGAGGGGGGCTGGAGGCCTCACCGCCTCTCTCCACCTGGCATGGAGCCGGCTCTTGGGTGGCACTGGTCTTCAGACCCCACCTCCACCCAGCATCGTCCCCTTCTGCACCCCTTGGCCCTCTGCTCCTCTTCTTCCCGATCCCGGTTCATCTCCTTCTGCCTCCTAGGCTCATCTCCCGATGACTCAGTGGTCTGACTGCTGAGGGAGAGGAGCCAAGGAGGATGGTTTGACTCTTGGACTGTCTGCCTTCCTGGAACCCACAGGGAGCCCCATCTCTGCCCTTGACAGAATCCCGCCCCCAGGCAGCCCCTCTTAACTAGTTGAGAGTCTCACAGTGGATCGGGGAGGCCAGATAACCTCTGTGAGGGGGGAGAGGGTGGATGGGTCCTGGGCAGCCAGTCTCTCACCTTTCTCCTGCTTTTAGGGTTCCCACCCCAGACACCCCACCAGCCTTCCTTACCCTGGAGAAAAGGAGAGAAGGCTGGACCCCTACCCCAGCCCCCCACATCCCCCACACACCTCTGCTGCTGGCCCAAGTCCAGGCCCAGGCCCAGGCCCAGGTGCACATGGGCTGTGGGGTCAGGGGTCAAGCCGGATAGTGCCTCCTAAGGCTTCCCCACCTAGTCCTCCCCTGGGTCCTGCAAAGAAACTGGGTTTTGGGGGCTGAGACCGGAGTCTTTGAAGGAGCTACAAGAGCAATCTGGGGTGGAAGCTGCGGCAGCAGCAGCGTCTCCCACGGTCTCTATCAAAGATTCTACCCAGGGAAAGAATGCAGGGAGCGGTTTGGCTTACCCTGTCCAGACAGCTATTTGGAACACACACACACACACACACACATGCAACACGCACGCACGCACGCCTTTTGGCACTTGACTTTCTCATGAAATAATTGCTGGAAGGCTGCTCGGATTAGGTAACCCGGCGTTCCTTCCTGTCCCCGTGGCGGAGGGGGAAGGGGGATCAGCACTCAGCATCTGCTGGGCCGATCCAGCTCCTTTGGGGTGACGCAGGCCAGACCAGGAGGTCCGTGGCTCCAAACATCTTTGGGAGCCAAATGCAACAGGAACGGGCCTCTCAGCTCTCTCGTCCCTGCGGCCATCTGGTGGCCCAGGCCGAGGAGGAGAAGGCGAACCAGGAAAGGTGTTGTGCGCAGACAAGGATGTTATGTGCCCACTTACAGTTGAAATCAGTTTTACAATACGGTATACATGGACATTTACATTATCTGTGCTCACCAGCCTAAAGTGAGCTGTATCTGGGTTCAGGTATAACAGGGGCATTGAGAGGGCATAGAGGGAGGAGCCTGGCCTGTGGATGGAGGTCAGTGACGGAGACGTGGATGGAGGGAGGGGGTGGTTATGCTTCCCCTAGGCATCCTCACAGCTGCCCATCCCGGGATTTGGAGACCAGGCCCTAGGCTCACGCTTCCCTTCTGTCTGACTTGAGCCACTTCTGACCTCTAACCCCAGCCCCTTGGTGAGCCTGGAGCCCCTACTGACCAGTGGCAGAATAGCACTAAGATCGTGCTACAGGGAGTGTGGCTGGGAGGGGAGAGACAGTGAGCAAACCTCACTACTTGTCCTTTACTTTCTTAGGTCTTATAACAGGTGCAAAACAATCCAGGCCACGGCCCCACCGGTGAGAACGTGCTCCTGAGAGCCGTGCCCATGCAGTAAAGAGGGCAGTGCCCCGCACAGGGTGAGGGTCAGGGGGCAGTTCTGGGATCTGCTCCTCTCAAGTCTCTCAGGGCCGGGGGGTGGGGGTGGGGGGTGGGGGGTGGAGAGGGTGGGGGGTGGGGGGTAGGGGGTGGGGGGGCGCGGGGGGGGGAGGTCGGGGGAAGGGGGGGGCGGAAGAGAAGGGGGAGAGAGAAGGGGGGGAAGTTCCCTCCCCAGTAGGACCCCGACCTGGGGTGAGAATGCCTAGGGAAAGCATACCCCCCTGGTAACACCCCCCTCCCCCGTTTGTGGTCTCCAAAGTAAAGCTCACTTGGGAGGACAAGACCTTTTCTCAGGGTGGGCCCGCAGCCCTCTCCCAGGCCGCACGCCGCTCCTCCGGGGTGGGGGTCGGGGTGGGGGTGGGGGCTCGGACTCAACTCAGTGCCCGGGACTCGCACAGGAGCGGCGAGGACCCCCAGAGGCACTCCTCCCGGGTGCCTCTGGGGGTCCTCCACCCGCAGCACCCGCGGGTCTCCAGGGCAGGGGGCGGCCGGGAGTCGGCCGAGGCCCCGCCCCCGAGGCCCCGCCTCCCCACGGCGCCCAGTCCCGGGGCTCCGGGGACCCGCCCCGCCCTCCGCCGCCCCGCCCACCGCCCCTCGGGCGAGCCCAGCTCCCCGGCCCCACTCGCGGCCGGGCGCTGCGGAGGAGCCTGGCCTCTCTCGCTCGCTGCAAGGTTCGTTCCCGGCCCCGCGCTCCCCGCTCCGCTCCCCGCTCGGCCATGGAGCCGGCCCCCGAGGCCGCGGAGGCGCAGGCGGTGCGCGAGGCGCTGGGCCGCTACGAGGCGGCGCTGGAGGGCGCGGTGCGCGCGCTGCACGAGGACATGCAGGGGCTGCAGCGCGGCGTGGAGCGGCGCGTGGCCGAGGCGCTGCGCCTGGCCGGGCCGCTGGCGCGCACCGTGGCCGAGCTGCAGCGAGACAACCAGCGGCTGCAGGCGCAGCTCGAGCGCCTGACGCGCCAGGTGGAGGCGCTGGGCTTGGCGACCGGGCTGTCCCCCGCGGCGCCGGGCACCCCGGGCACGCCCAGCCCTCCGCCGGCGGCGCCCGGCGCCCCGGACCACGCGCCCCGCCTGGGCTCCGCGCGCTTCGCCAGCCACGCCACCTTCTCCATTTCGGGCCGTGGCCAGGTGAGCCCCGGGGAGCTGGGGTCCGCAGGTGCCGCTGCTGCTGCCCCGCGTGTGTACATCCGCTGGGTTTGGGGGGCTGTGCCTCCACCCGCCGCGAGGACTTGGTGGTGGGGGGTCCGGCTCCACTTCGGGTTTGGAGAAAGCCGAGGAGCACTATCTTGGCCCCCTCCCTTCTGGGGAGCCGGGCCTTGTTTGCCCTAAGTTTTGTCTCCCTCTCTCTGCTGTCTGTCCTGTGACAATAAGGGGTTGGACGCCCAGGTCCGGCCCCTGACCGATCTGCACGGCCCAGGGCCCCGCCCGCGCGTTGGAATGAATGGTCAGCACCCCCGACTCCCCCACCTCCATTCACGCGCCCCAGCGATGCTGCTTCACTGAGGCCTGACGGTTCCGGTGGTTATTGATTAACCAGATGGAGAACGAAGGCCCCCCGTTGGGGGAGGGGAGGACGCAGTCTGGTCAGGTTCAGCCAGGCAGGCATGCTTTTGGAGCTCGCACTGCAGGGGGCAAATCCCTTTACCGTGAAGGGATGGATGGAGAAACCGGCCTGGAGCAGCGTCTAGATTCCTGAGCTCAGCGACTGGCCAGGGGCCCACACCGAGTGGGGGTGGGGCGGAGGCCGCCGGTGTGGCCCGGTCACTGCCCTGGGCATGGGGCCTGGGGAGGCCGGTTAGGACGACTCCATGGGCTGTGCAGCAGCCCTCAGGTGAGACTTTCCACTCTGCAAGAGGACATGTGCTCTTGGCTTGGGTTCCCAGGGTCTGGGTGTGAGTAGTCGGCACCTGTCGCCCCTGGGTCAGTCCTTCAGGCACTCAGGTCTCCTGGGGGGGGGGGGGCGGGGGTTGGGGATCAGATTAGCCCTTGTCCCTGCAAGTCCCACCCTGGGTGGGAGATGGCCCCAGATAGAGCAGTACCAACAGTGCAGGCAGCCAGAGCAGGTGTGCTCCAAACGTAACCATCCCTCCCCGTGTGTGTCCCAGGAAGGCTTTGGGCTGCAGGCTCAGGGCTTGCTGCTGCTGGTGCGGATGGGGGTACGGTGGGGGGCCGTGCAGGCATCCTCCAGAAGGCTCAAGGACTCTCTGGCCAGAGGGGAGCCTGGTGGCTGTGAGAGTTGGGGGGGGGGGGGCAGGCTGTGAAGGCCCCCTGGATGCGGGTCAAGGGACCTGGGCTTTGTTTCTGGGCCATGAGAGGTCCTCACATATGTGCTGGTGGCAGAGTCCTCGGGTGTCCCAGGGATCCCGATGAAGTGTCTGGAAATATGGGTACATTTGATCCTGTCGTCCATAGTATAGTCACACCGTGAGCTCCTGTGTGCCTGGTACACTGTGTCATCCGCCGTTTCTGAGGGTTCGTTTTAACACGCATGTGCTGCTTATCTGCTCGTGGAAGCAGCTGCCCAGGTTTTAACAAAAATACTCCCACAGCCATATATGTACGGATATGTATATGTACATGCACACACGCACATACGTGAGAGCATTCTCTCCAGTCGTCAGCTTTTTTTTTTTTTTTTTTCAGTGGGAGTTGGCCATGATCATCTGAGGTGAACGAGTCCTCTGGGTTATGGGGGGGATGGTGGGTGAGGGGCGCTGGGCAGGGGAGGGCCAGGGTCCTCCTCGGATCTGGCAGCTCCCTCAAGGGTGGGTGGCGGGCTGGAGGGCGGCTGGAGACAGGCTGACTTACAGATGGTGGCCCAAGGAGAGAGGACAGCCATAGCTGGGGCCGTGGTGGGCCGATGGAAAGCTGGGGTTGCCTCGGAGAGGGATGGAAGAGGGAGGACCAGCAAGGTGGAGAGTCTGGATGTTCTTAGAGAGGCAGAGGGGGGCGCTCTGCCGGGGGGACGCCTGGGTCACGTATCTGGCGGAGATGGTCGGCTCCGTTTGGGTTGTGCTGAGTGCGAGGGGCTGTGGACACCCTGGGCAAAGCTGTCCCGGAGCAGGCAGAGTCACCGATCTATTGCACTGAGAGTGGCCAAGGCCGCCAGCTGGGGAGATGCAGGGCAGAGCTGGCTGGGGAGATGTCGGGACAGGGCTGGTAGCTGAAGTCTTCAGTTGTGCAGAAGGAGGAGGCGGGCAGGAGCCCTGGGCAGAGGCTCCACCTCCAGCGCTGCCTGTATCCACTGTCTGTCACGCTGCAGCTTGGCCACAGTGAGCCCCCGGGGTGGAGGGTGGGGAGGGGGGCCAGGCACAGGGCCTCGGGGCCACAGGCAGCTCTCGGGGCCACACACCGTCCTTGTGAATGGAGCTGCCAGGGTGTCCGAGGCCCTGAAGAGCCCACCCTTAGAAATGGAGAGGGGGGAGCCTTCTCCATGGTTGGGGTCAGCAGGGAAGCTGCTGCAGCTGGGGAAGAGGAGGGAGACGCGGTTTGGGAGTAAGGTGTGGACCTCAGGGAGGCGTGGGACGAGGCGGAACAGCAAGCATAGCTGAGTGTGGGGCAGACGATAGCCAGGGTCTCCGGTGGGGTCCGAGGCTCTGCAGCCCCCGAGCCTGGCTCCCTGGGCCTGAGGCAGCTCCCCCACCTGACTAGGAGCACTGGTGCCCCTTCTCCCCCAGCCCACCTCTCCGAAGCCCCGACACAGGCTCCAGGGTCATGGCTGGATGCAGGGGCTGCTGTTTTCTCTCTCTCTCTCTCTCTCTCTCTCTCTCTCTCTCTCTCTCTCTCTCTCTCTCTCCCCCCCCCCCATATCTGTGTCTCTGTCCCAGGGGAGTTCTGGGTGTGAGGGTCGCAGGTGGCTGTGGCCAGGCATTGTGGAGGCTGTGCTGTGCTGCCCATCTGTGACAACAGTGAGATTGGTGTCATCCTGCTGTGTTTTTTTTTGTTGTTGTTGTTGTTTTTTTAATAAATATATTTTATTGACTTTTTTACAAAGAGGAAGAGAGAGGGATAGAGAGTTAGAAACATCGATCAGCTACCTCCTGCACACCCCCTAATGGGGATGTGCCCGCAACCAAGGTACATGCCCTTGATAGGAATTGAACCTGGGACCCTTCAGTCCGCAGGCCGGCGCTCTATCCACTGAGCCAAACCTGGTAGGGCCATCCTGCTGATTTAAAACGGGGTCTGCAGGGGTTGGAAGTGGGTCAAACTCAGCGTGTAAATGTGCCCTGAACTCTGGGTGCGGAAACCCTGACCTTGCCAGGACCTTGCTCCTCAGGCTTACAGAGGTCTGATGGGAGACAGAAGAGCAGCCAGGGAGGCTCCAGGACAGGGGAGGGGGCAGGTCAGGGGGTAGGAGTCACCAGGGAGGACTCCATGCAGGAGGCCTGAGTCCCTGGAGCAGATGGAGCTGGTTTGGGGGCATTTGTTGAGCCGTTGAGGGCACCTCCTCCCCATTAGACCTCAGTTTCCTTGTATCTAAACCAGGGGGCACTGTCCCAGCCCCGCTGGGCCTCTCGCGCTGAGCAGGGTGGGTGATTATAACGGGCATCGGCCCAAACTGCTCACAAAAGTGTCTGTGGAGCCATAGCTGTGACCCGGTGGATGAAGGGAGCCGGCCGGGGGCCTCGGTGGATGGCAGCGGCTCGAGGCCAGGCTGGAGGCCAGGCCGCAGTTGTTTCCTTGGAAATGCCCTCTCGGCTGAGCTGGAGCCGCTGGGTCCTGATGGCCGAGGCGGTGGAGTCCCGTAGGAACCACTGCCAGGAGCGAGGTGTCAGGCCGATCATGAAAGAAACCAGACTCGCCTTATCTGCCTTCCTTTCCCAGACACACTGTGTGATAAGGGAGTTAAATGCTTTGGGGAGAAGTTTGAGTTGAGTCTTTAAAGCCATGGTGTGAACGAGGAGGAGAAGAGCGGGCAGCCGAGTTCACGGCTTAGAATGGCGGTTCTGGCCGCCTGGGCTGTGCTGGACATACGCATGGGCTCATGCATGGGCTCCCGTGTCCACACATGGGCCTGTGTGGGATCACGCAGCACCGAGAGTGCCTGCTCTCACAAAAGTGTTGAAAACGTCCCCAGAGAGAGTGTCTGAAATCAGACTTATCGCATCCCTCCTATGCCTTTAACATTACCAGGCCCCGTGTGGGAGCCTCCCCTTTTTAAAATAATTTTCACCGAAGGATATTTTTCCCATTGATTTTTTTTTTTTTTTTTTTTGAGAGAGTGGAGTGGAGGTAGGAGGGAGGGAGAGAGAGAGAAACATCAATGTGAGAGAGACACATGATTGGTTGCCTTGACTCCAGCCCTGCTCTGCTCCTTGGCTTTCGGGCTCAGGTCCTGCTAGGGTACTTACCCCACTCCCACGTTTGCTCCCCCCCACCTGATGCAAATGGCTGTCTCTGCCCGAGGTGCTGGGAGACAGGTTTGTCTTTTATTTTATTTTATATTTTATTGATATTTTACAAAGAAGAAGGGAGATGGATAGAGCGATAGAAACATCGATGAGAGAGAAACATCAATCAGCTGCCTCCTGAACACCTCCTACTGGGGATGCGTCCGCAACCAAGGTACATGCTCTTGACTGGAATCGAACCCGGGACCCTTCAGTCTGTAGGCTGACGCTCTATCCACTGAGCCAAACCGGCTAGGGCGGGAGACAGATTTGTCTTGAGTGTCCTCCGAAGGCCGGAGTACTTTGTGTAGAGCCCTGGGGTAAGGTAGGAGACATGAGTCCCAAACCTTGACTGTGCAGAAGCCTTTAGTCCAGGCTTGAAGTTAGGGGTGACCTTCTCCACCCTCAGCTTGAGATGTGGGCGGAGCCCTTTCCGTGGGTGAGGAGTGGCTCCAGTCACGGGTGGGGAGCCAGGGGCAGCTGCCGCGGGTCCTCCCAGCATGAGTTCGCCCGATCCCTTTTCCCTCCGCTTTGCTGAGACCCCTTGTCAGGAATCTAGCTGGTTTAGAACCACCTTCCTGTCTGGTTGTGACATCTGGTCCCCTGGGGCATCGTGGGGTGTGGGCCTGCAACGTGCAGGGGCAGGTGGCTATGCCTCCCCCCCACCCCCCAGTAGAGACCCACCTTCTTGGGAAAGTGGTTTCCTCATCAGCCTGTCCCTTCAAGTCCCTGCCTGGACCTGTGGAACCTGCTGGGCCAGAGTGAGGTGGCTGAGGGGACACGGAGACCCCAGAGCTGGGTGGAACCTGGAGGCGGGTGGGGGCTGGAGCTCAGGAGGGACCAGCTGTTTCTCCACTTTCTGCTGAGCTGGCTTCCAGTTAGCAATGGCGTGGCTCCAGGGGTGCCCTCCCCATGCTAGACTGCCAGGAGATGCACCCCCACCTTCTCTATTGTTCCTTGGAGTAGGCCTGGCCCCTCCCCTCTGTCCTCCTGAATCAGAAGTCGAGGGTCACCTTCTCTCCAAGACCAGGCTCTTGAGTCCTGTCCTCTCTCACTTCCCCAGAGACCCCCACCCTGCAGACGGTCCCCTCGTCTTCTGGAGCCGTTCTCTCCGCCTATACATGGTACCCTACCCCTTCCATCTGAAAGACCCCCCCAAGCCCCTTTGCTCCTCTCCCCTCAGGGCTAAACTTACCTGTGGTCTCCGTGTCTCCCCAGCTTCTCCCCCAGGCCATCTCCTGTGCCCTGCCCCCCACCCCTAACCGTCCCAGTGACCTCTTTTTTGCTAAACCCAATGGACGCTTTTTAGAGCTCATCTTGACCGTTTTTTTTTTTTTTAATTTATTGATTTTTTACAGAGAGGAAGAGAGAGGGATAGAGAGAGTTAGAAACATCAATGAGAGAGAATCATCGATCAGCTGTCTCCTGCCCACAACCAAGGTACATGCCCTTGACCGGAATCGAACCCGGGACCTTTCAGTCCACAGGCCGACGCTCTATCCACTGAGCCAAACCGGTTTCGGCTCATCTTGACCTTCTTTTCCTTGACCTCAGGCCACCTTTGCATGCCGCCGACTCGCCTGACTTCTTGATACACTTCCACACGCCTTTCCCAGCATTCTTCTGGTTCTCCTCCCACCTGCCTGCCTGTGCCTTCTCACTCTCAGATGTCTCTCTGCCCCGGGAATGTGGTGCCCTGGGCCCTGGATTTGAGACCCCAGCTTCTTCATTGTCTGTCCGTCCTTCCTGCTAAACTTCACACTCAAGTACCCAGCTACTTCCTGACCTCACCTCCCTGATGCGTAGAGCACCTTACTCTCTCACGCCCCAAACTGAAGTTCTCGTGTCCCCACCCTTCCTGGCCACATCACTCACCCCCGGAAGCCTGGGCTTGGCGGAGGAGTGGCCTCTACTCGTCTCTCCACGTCCTCACTCTCCCCAAAGCCCCGAGTCCTTCTTGCCCTTGGCTCTCCCCCTGTCCCGTCCCCCCTCCTCATGTCTCCCCCCACCTGGGACTAGTGAGGTGGCTGGCCATCTGGGCTCCCCTTCCATGCCACTCCCTTCCGGCTTCTGAAGGATGTCCCTGGAACATGGAGCTGATCACCTTCCGCTCTTTCTCACGTGTACACCCCCTGTCGGAGCCCTCATCGCCCATCTGTAAAGCGGGGCTGGTAGCACCTAATCTGGGAGGGCAGAGCAAGCTGGCATCAGCGGCATGCCCAGATAAAGGGCCTGACACTTGGTAGATCTCAAGTGGCACTTGCATCGCCCACGTCCATATTTCAAACAAACAAACAGACAGACTCCGGGGGCATGACCTCACCCAGGTCACCTGGTGGTTGGCAGCCCAGCCAGGATGCCTGGCACTCCCGCCGGCTCTTGGTCTTGGCGCGCTCTCTGCGCCCCTCCCCCGCTTTTGCGGTGTGTAAGCCAGTCAGGCCCCCGTGCCCTGGACGTGTGGGTGAATTCGTGACCCTGTATCAGTGCAGAGGCCGCAGCAGGAGGGCTCCGGCGCCTGTTGTGGGCCCAGAAGAAGCTTACGTGTGTGTCTGCATTGCAGCTGCTCCCACACAGGCAGCCAGGCCAGCCTGCCCCGCTGGGATGAGCCAGAGCCACACTCGCCTCACCCAGTCACCTGGTCCAGCCCGGGATAGGGGCGGGGCCATCGTGCACACTTCTTTGGAACCCTCTCCATCTTGACCTTTGTCCCTAGCATTTTGGGGTTCTGAGGTGAGGCCAATGGAGGTGGCGTATGCCTCGCCGCAGGATCCCAGGGGCTCAGCAGCTGGGGCTGGGTTTGCCCCCACTTGCTGTGTATCTTCGGCCCATCGTGGTATGTCCTGCGGGCTTGGGCTCTCACATATGAGTGCCGTCTGCGCCGCCAGAATCAGGAGGGCTTTGGGAGCGATTTTGGGAGGGAGGCGGCCCCGGCTGACGGGGCCTTGCCCGTGTTTGTGTCTCCGCAGAGCGTGGATGAAGCCAGCGAGCCGGAGATGAGAAGGTCCTCCACCCAGAGCATCATCGAGAATGGGCACCAGCCAGGGGCAGGTAGGGGCAGGCTGCAGAGGACGGGCAGCTCTGGGCTCGGGGCCTTGGCAGCCGTGCATCTGTGCCAGGCCACCCCTTGGCTGGGTGGGGGGACCTGAGCGTCAACCCTAACACATGGAGAGGCTGCCAGCAGAGTGGCCTCACTCAGAGAGAAGGAGGTTTCAGCACCGAGGGACATGGGAGATCTGCTTCTGGAGGAATGCCAGCAGGGGCGGAGGGAGTGTCCAGGCCTGAGCAGGGGAGAGAGTGGGCTGACAGGCCACCTAGTGTCCATTGACCTGTCTGTGAGGGGAAGTTGGACCCGATGTGGACTCTGGTTGGAGCAGTGAAAAGTCCCCACTCGCGGGAGGTCAGGGAGGCTGGAGTGGTCAGGGAGGCCTCCTCAGAGGAGGCGGGGAGAGGGTTCGGGGAGGCTGGAGCCCGAGGCCCCAGTGGGTGCCTGGCTGACACTATCACCCCCCTCTTGTCACATGTTGCAGGTCCAGGTGATGGACCCCCTGAGGCCACCCAGACCTTCCGGGCACCAGAGCCCCCCAAGCCTCGCCCCATGAGCCTCTCCTTGGGGCTGCCTCACCAGCCAGTCACTGCCGTCATGCGGGTCTCCGAGAGGTTCTCTGGAGAGACTTCAGCCACCGCGCTCTCGCCCACGTCTGCTGCCATCCTGGGGGGCCTCGGCTCGAGCCCCAGTGAGGCCACCCCCCCCTGGACTCTAAGTCCCAGTGGTAGGAGCAGGGGAGACCCCAACTCTGGTCTGGGAGGGTGGGGAAGGGCTGGGGTTGTCTAGCCATAGACTCAGAAAATCTGGGCTCAAGCCCCAGCTCCCCAGCCTGACACTCCTTTCTTTCTTTTCTTTCTTCTATTATATAATATATTTTATTGATTTTTTTACAGAGAGGAAGGGAGAGGGATAGAGAGTTAGAAACATTGATGAGAGAGAAGCATCGATCAGCTGTCTCCTGCACATCTCCCACTGGGAATGTGCCCTTGACAGGAATCGAACCTGGGACCTTTCAGTCCGCAGGCCGAGGCTCTATCCATGGAGCCAAACCGGTTTTGGCGACACTCCCTTCTTTAGCCCATCTGCATCCTCCATCCTTCCCAGAATCCTCTCCCAGAGCCGCCTTGAAACAGCAGCGGCCTTGGCAGGTGATAACCATGGCTTTGCTTACAGGTGGAGGCGGTGGTTAGAAGGCGGCCTTGTACCCTGCACATGTTGGCATAGTCAGACCCAGGCCTGACTTGGGTCTGTGGTCAGGTCTCGGTGGCAGACTTGGGCTGGGACCATATGGGCCTCCAAAGAGAAGGTTCACTGGATGCACAGCACGGGCGGCCCTGGGCCCTGTGGTCTCAAAAGACCTTTTACGTCATTGCTCTTTGTTTCCAGTTTTCTTTCTTCACAACTGTTGGCTGAGGTGGGGCCAGCTCAGCTCAGGGGTCTTACGCGTCCTCGGAGGGACGCTGGGTGAACAGTGCAGGGCCAGGTCAGAGGGAGGCAGGCGGGGCGGGCCCTCCGTGAGACCAGGGTTTGTTGTTTCTCTCCCTCCCTTTGTCCCGCAGAGAAGAATTCTCCTGTCCCACGGCCCTTGCTGGGCTCTGGCTATGGGGCCGTGACAGCAGGCAGGAGCAATGACAGGTGAGTCAGGGCCCGTGTTCCTGGTGGGTGGGTGGGGGGTCATTGCTCTCTAGGTGTCATCTGGGCTTTGCCTTGGACCCAGGGTGCCCAGACCACCTGCAGGGAGCTCCCTGTGCTGCCTCCAGGGGAGGGCACCTTCCTGGGCTTGTGGCCTCCGGAGAACCGAGGCAGCCGGGATGCTGGGTCGGGTCAGAGCAGGGAAAGGGAGGCAGTGGCGTTTGTTGGGCGGAGAGTTTTGTTTAGAGAAATGTGGCCGCAGGCCGGCTTTTCTATGGACCCTTCAAGGCAAGTCTGTTGGAAGGTTGGAGGGGTGTCTCCATTCACCTGGAGGAAGGAGGGTAGAGGGATCCCCACTCTCCTCTTCATCCATCCAACCTGGCCAGCATCCCTCAGAGCGGCTGCTGCCTGCCCTGGCCTGGGAAGGCACCCAGAGAGGCCCTAGGCTGTGGTCCAGGCCTCCCCCAGCCTGCTCTGCGGGTGTCCCTGTGTCCCCCCAGGCCGGCTGGGCTGTGATTGGAGATGGGGATGGGGGACTGGCTGGGCTTTCCTTTTTCTTTTAATAATGAAGGAATTGTGACTTTCTGGCAGACTGTTCCAGAGGGAAAACAAAAGGGGGTCTTATCGAGTGGCGGTGGAGGAGGGGAGTGTGGCTCTGAGCGCACCTCCTGCCTCTCAGAAAGGGTGTCCCTGCCTGCCTTGGGCATTGACACCCTCACCCAGTGAGGGGCCCTTCTCCCTGCTGCTTCAGACAGAAAACCTGCCCAACCGGTCAGGCCCGGAGCAGGTGGCGCTGGCCTCCTCCTGCCTGCCCCCAAGCCCCCATTTCTGCCTCCTCTCACCCTCAGGGGGAGGAGGAGCCCGGGCCTGGGTGAGTGGGTGACGGCTGGCAATGGGAGCTAGTGATGGCGAGAGGCAGTGACGCCTCCTGGTTCTCTCCTCAGCCCCCCTCTGGTGACGCCGCCCCAGTCGCCCCCGTCCCCGCAGCCGCCAGCCGCCGCTCAGGCCCATCGCCGGGAGCTGGTGAGGTCGCAGACGCTGCCCCGGACCTCCAGCGCGCAGGCCCGGAAGGCTTTGTTTGAGAAGTGGGAGCAGGACACGGTGGGCAAGTACGGACACTGGTCCTCGGATCAGGATGCGCCCCGGAGTAGGCCCAGCCCCCTCCTGGGCTCCCACAAGGCACAGGCAGGACTGCTGGCCCCAAGCTGTTCCCTGGGGTCCTCCCCTAAGGGGTGACCTCGTGGGGAAGACACAAGCTCAGGGCTTGGGAGCCGGGCAAGGCCTGATGAGAGTCCTCCTCTCTGCCAGTTCCCAGGGGGCCCCTCCGGGCTGTCCTCACGCCCAAGTTCCTTGTGAGTCGTAGTCCCTTTGGTTTCTGCGAGAGACCCGAGGCCGGGAGGGCAGTCCATTGGGATTCCCGGCAGGAGCTGGGAGGTGACACCCAAGTGCCCCCGTCTGCCGTCATGCCTGGAACCCTCCTGTTAGAGACGGGACCCGCCCTTGAACACTTACCGGGCCCTCCTGTCAGTGCGGGGTGGTGACACCTGCTGCGGGCAGGGGGGCAGGCTGCCTAGGCCTGTGACAACCACTGGACCCCAGTGCTGGCTCCCGAGGCTCCGTCTCTAGTGAGGGAGACAGACCCAGGGAGGGGGTGTCCCCAGGGCCCAGCCAGCCCATCTCGGCTGTTAGGGGGTGTCCTTGGGGCCCAGAAGAGGCAACGGTCCTAGGTCAGGAAAGAGCCGTCAGCGTGGGGGTTCTCAGAGGGAGGCTCAGAAGGAGGATGGGCATCTGGAGGCTGGAAGGGGGGTGGTCCTCCCGGAGACCATCGGGGGCGGCAGTGTGGCTGGTGCGCAGGGTTCAGGCCTGGACGTGGACACAGGGGCGAGGGAGGCCAGGTCCTGACAGAGCGCCTCCCTGGGTGGGGATGGCCGGGGACTCCCCTGCTCCTCGGTGGCAATGGCAGCTGCGGGGCAGCCCCCACGGCAGGCCTGCGCGCTCTCCGCAGGGGCAGGGGCGAGGCCCGGGCCAAGCTGAAGCGGTCCCAGAGCTTCGGGGTGGCCAGCGCCAGCAGCATCAAGCAGATCCTGCTCGAGTGGTGTCGCAACAAGACTCTGGGCTACCAGGTGAGCCCGGGTCCCACCCTGGCCCCCGGGACCCCGGCCAGGGGCTTGACTAAGTACGTATCACCCCTTGCTTCTGTTTTCCTGGCCAGGGTAAGAACCCAGTGGGGGAAAAAGGGGGGGGGTGGCGCGGGTAGGAGCTAGAGTAGGGGTGTCGAACGCAATCAGAGAAGGGGCCAAAATCTAAAATCCAGCCTAAATCGCGGGCCGAATGGTTTACTGAACAGTCATAAACTGTCATTGTGATGGAAACGCAGCGGAGTGCAGTGATGACAGTGCGGTGCGGGCCACATTGCAAGGCCTGGCGGGACGGATTTGGCCCGCGGGCCTTGTGTTTGACACATGTGAGCTAGAGAAATGGTGCCTCCCTGGTCAGTCCCTAGCAGATCCCAGGAGTCCTGTGTCTGGCGCCACCTAGACTGGTGTGTAGACTGGTCGAGTGCCCCCTGTGGCGTGAGGTCCCGTGGCTGCAGCTGGTGGCTGTGGCTGAGCCGAGTGGATGCTGGCCCTTGAGGGGGGGCTGGGGAACCTGCCCATGGGGTTGCATTGGGCAGGGAGCGGAGGCGGGGCCCCCGCCCCCCTCACCTGGCCGCACGGACCTCGCCTTGCTCGCAGCACGTGGACCTGCAGAACTTCTCCTCCAGCTGGAGCGACGGCATGGCCTTCTGCGCCCTGGTGCACTCTTTCTTCCCCGACGCCTTCGACTACGGCGCCCTGAGCCCCGCGCAGCGGCAGAAGAACTTCGAGCTGGCCTTCACCATGGCCGAGTGAGTACATGGCGGTCCCGCGGGCTCCCAGCCTGGCCCGGTCCCGGAGCCCGAGAGGACGACCGCGTGGGTGGTGCTCAGGGGCCGGCAGGATAGGGGGCGGCGGACGCAGAGCTGAGGACCTGGAGGCCTTCCAGCCTGCTCTCCCCCGGAGAGATGGGGAGACTGAGTCCTGGAGGTGGGGATCTGCCTGGGTCCCCCCAGTCTCTTCTTGGCGCCCCTGCTCTTTTTGCTGGGCGTCTGGCTTCCGGCGGACGGGCTGGGAGACGGGGCATGATGATGGGCAGTGGAGTGATGCTGCCGGAGCACTGAGTCTGCCTCGCGGGGCTGGTGGGAAGATGAGGGGCCCCGGGCGAGCCACAGCTGTGACGGATCAGCAGGAAATTCAGTAATGTCTGCCTGGGGGACATTTAAAAAACGCCTTCAATAAGTAGATGTTGCTTCCCTAGACATTATTCTGGTGTTTCATATAACACTGTCTGCCTTCTCCCTACCCACTTAGAGGGGGGCCGTTCTGGGGTCAGGAGGCGCTTGGGAAGCCAGTGGAGGTTTGGTGATTGTCGGGGGGCAGCCCCAGAGCACCAGGAGCCGGCAAAGCGGGATGTGTCTGTCAGGGTCCTGCGGGGTGCGTGCACGCTGAGTGGGTGAGGGACTCCGCACTAGGGGTGCGGGAGTGAGTGAGGGAGGGAGGGAGCCAGGTGCCATGCAGGGCCCTCGGCTGGTCAGCCTGAAGGGAGCCAGGAGCATAGCTGTGCGGAGGGCTGGCTGACGGGAGCTGCGCTTGGGGCAGTGGCTCTGACCCGCTCACAGTGACCCGGCAGGGAGGGAGCTGGGGGGACGAATCCTCTGCCCTCGCTCTCCTCCTGCCCACCACGCCAGGGCTGCTTCTTGGCTGAGCACAGGCAGAGGGCAGGGCAGGGCGGCCACTGCTGCCTCCACTGAGGCCCCGGAGCCGGAGCCGCACCCGGCTCAGACGCTGAGCGAGTTTGGACCGCCTGATGCTGAGCCCGGCGGGGTGGCGTTGAGGGGAGGAAGGCCTCCCAGAGTGCAGTTTCCCGGCGTTAACGTTTCCCATCCCCTCCTGCCCACCTGCCCACACCCCAGTGGCTCCCCCTCTGCTCTGTGGTCTGTGCCGAGGGCCCGTGTCGAGGAGGTGCCCTCCTGTGCTTGGCGAGTTGGAGGAGCCCTCGCCCCAAGCCTCCTCACTGCATTCCCGGCCTGCCCTTCCGGCCCCCACACCACCGAAGCCCGAAGCCCGGCTGGAGAGGGAGTCGGAGCCGGCAGGGGCCGGGACCCGCCTTTGGTCCTGAGGGGTCGCCTCGGGCGGCGGCAGCGGCCCCTCTCCGAGCAGCAGCCCTGGCTCCGGGGCCGCGCTCAGGCCTGGCTCCCTGCTGCTGGCCCTCGCCGCTGGAACACCAGTGCTGCCCCTGTTGTGTTGTCTCGGATGACGCGCTTGGACTCGCGGCCCCTCGGGGTCATAAGAACTCCTTGTATACTTTAAAAGCCTCCTCTTTCTTGGCTGCTCGGGAGTAGCTGTCATCCTAATTGCAGAAACAGCTTCGGATGGAGCGTGTTATGCAACTGGATCCAGACCACGGGGAAGGAGAGCCAAGTGCGCGGGGTTGGGGACGGGCGCCTCCGAGGGATGGGGCCCAGCTGCCCGGAGCCCGGCCATGGACCTTCAGAAACCGGGCCGCCGGAGTCTGCAGGGCCGGGCGGCGTCACGGCGTCCTCCGTCAGGTCCAGTGGGCCAGGCGCTGCCAGCTCATGCCCTGGCTGCCTTGGTTCCCCTCAGCTCTGGGCCTGTGGCGAGGAGAGGGAGGCCCTGGGCCACGGGGTGAGGGTGGGGGGGAGGGCGCGGCCCTGCACCCCGGCTTGCTGGGAGCACAGCTTTCCTTGGCAGCCAGAGCCGGAGCACTTGGTGGTTGTGCTTCCCCAGCATGAGGTTTGAGCCGGCAGCCTCCAGACTCCGCACACATGGTTCTGCTGTCTCCAGCCCTGGGGAGCAGTGGCGGAGGCTGCTCCAGGGGTGGCCTCCCTCCTCCCCAGAGCAGACAGTGAGGGTAAGAAGCTTGGCCCTGCCTCCCTGCAGCCTGAGTCTGCTCCTGGCTGGGGACGGGAGGGTGGTCAGCCAGGCCCCTGAAGTGCATTCTTGTTTTTCCGCTGACTTGAGGGGGCCGGAGTGCCTGTATTCGGGGAGCTTGCTCGGAGTCTGGGAAGGGGCTTCCCCTTGTGAGTCATCCAGATTATCTGAGGGCACTCACTGCAGAGGGCTTGGGAGGTGGGCCTGGCTGTCCGAGGCGCTGGGGCGGACAGCAGCCTGGTCCCCCCGTGTCCTGGCTGGTTAGAGGAGATGGAGCGAAAGCACAGGGACACCTGCTCAGAGAGCCATCTTCCGGTGTCTTACCCCGTATACCTGAGGCTCAACACCGAAGCCAAGCAGGCGTGCGGGGCTGCCGGAAGCCGCCAGGAGCCGCGGGCCGGAGCTGAGGAAGGCGGCTTAGGAGCGGGCCGTGTGGGAGGAGGGGAGCCGGGCTCTGATGAAGTTACAGCTTTTGGAAGGGCAAAGAGGACAGGAATGGGCCTCCCAACATTGGGGCCACCTCACACCAGGAAGGAAAAGTTTCCAGATCCTCCTGTGGGCAAGTTCCTTCAAAGCACAGAGACCCATCCAGCCGGTGTGGCTTAGTGGCTGACTGTTGACCTATGAACCACGAGGTCAAAGTTCGATTCCTGGTCAAGGCGCATGCCCGGGTTGTGGGCTGGATCCCCAGTAGGGAGTGTGTAGGAGGCTGCCAATGGGTGATTCTCTCCCAGCATTGATCTTTCTATCTCTCCCTCTCCCTCTCCCTTCCTCTCTGACGTCAATAAAAATATATGTATTTTTAAAAAGCACAGAGATGCCTCAGAGCCTGTGGAGCAAAGGTGGCTTATGCTTCTCCCCCCCCCCCCCCCAATAATTTACAGTCCCAGAGATTCCTCGTGGCCTAATCCGTGTGAACGGATGCGGTGTTGACAGCAAGACGAGCCCGTTCTGTCGGACAGGTGTTCAGGACTTGGAAAGCGGAGGGCCAGCCCCTTTTATGGGTACTTGACCCTCCGCACCCTCTTCCCCTCCTCCCCCTCGGGGCCAGACATGCGGCCCGAGGCTCCCGCCTGCCCTGCGGGGAATGTGCCCCGCTCTCGGGTTACCCGGAGCAGAAGGGGCTTTCAGGCTATTTGTAGTGTCCATGTGTCCCTGCCCAAAACCAGATAGGAGGCTGCAGGCCGAGCTCTGGCATCCTGGTCTTAGAGAAGCTTAAATAAGTAAAAATAACCCCTCCGGCCCTCCCCCACCTCCCTCGCAGGCCAGCCCTGAGGTGGCTGAAGCCCACGATGGCCTGGGGCGGGAGGAGGCCCTGCTAAGCCGCTCCTCACCCCGCCGAGGTGGGGCCCGTGCTCACGGAGCCCGGCTGGTACCCAGATGTGCGGGGACATTGGAAGTGATTTGTTTAAGTGATTTAAAACAAGTGTGTATCATGTATACAACATTCACATTTATTTTTATTTTTATTTTTATTTTTTACATTTTTTTAAATCAATCTTTATTGTTCATATTATTACAAAGGTTCCTCATTTCTTCCCCCGTCCACCAGGTTCCCACCCCACCCTCCGCCCCCTCCCCATCCCCCATTGTCCTCATCCATAGGTGCACAGTTTATGTTCAGTCTCTTCCTCCCTCCCTTTCCTGGATAGTAAATCCCTTTTCAGATAGTAAATCTGTTACTTAGCATTTTCTCATATCAATAATACCTCCACATGCCCAATGATACACTTCACACAAAAAACATTTCCAAATAGGTCAATCAGCCTCATCCAGGCCCCACCCAAGGCACTCACAGATCAACACCCCAGCGCTATATTAACTCAACACATCCAGATCTAAGCCTTCATCACTTGATTCAGCAGACCCTCACGTTCCCACAAAAGTTTCCAGCCATGTCTGAGAGGCAGCTGTGGGGCAGGGGCAGGCGAGGAGCGAGCTGTTCCGGGCCTGGCTGCTCCGGGCCTGACCTCTGTTGCTCTGGTTCGTTCCACAACCAGCTGCTCCGGGTCTGGCCACTGCCGCTCCCGACCTAGTTGCTCTGGACTTGGCTGTTGCTGCTCCAGGCCTGGCCGCACCCGACCCAGCTGCTCTGGGCCCGGTTGCTCCGGGCCTGGCCGCTCCCAGCCTGGCAGCCGCTGCTCCGGGCCTGGCTGCACCAGACCAACATTCACATTTTATTTAAAAGGCAGTTAAGGCCTCTAATAGTGGAGACGTAAAAACATTTTTGTAAACGTCGCTGATCATCACTTTTCTCATCTCCTGTCTCATGAACTGTGTCCTCAGCTTCCGGCAATCTCGTCATTACTGTTGTGGTGGGTCAGCTGGGGTGGGGGCTTGAGGGATGTGGCCCAGTCCCCTCGCTTCCTGCTTGCGTAGGAGAGGCTAAGGCCAAGGGTGGAGCCGTAGCCCCAGTCCTGACTGCCGCCCTGATTCCGGAGACTCGCTGCCTGGGCAGGGATTCATTGCTCTGAGGGTCAGCGCTCCCGCCAGAACAGAGAAGGGATCCGGTTGCCCTCTCCGCACAGGTTGGACGACACCTGGGATGTGTAGTGGTTCTGCATGTGCTCCACGAGGGGATAAGAAATCAGAACGAGCTCAGCAGACAGGGCCCAGGTACCCGTTGGGAGCAGTGAAGGAACCACAGTATTCAGTTTGAGGGAAAGATATGAATTTGAAAATTGTCTTCCAACAGGGCTCCTTTGGGGGGGAATTTTTTTAACCGGAGAATAGCCTGTGAGAACAATAGGCGTAAAGAGTCGAGAGGGGAAAGGGTGCCCAGCCAGTGTGGCTCAGGGATTGAGCATCGACCTATGAACCAGGAGGTCACGGTTTGATTATCTGTCAGGACACACGTCCAGGTTGCGGGCTCGATCTCCAGTGTGGGGTGTGCAGGAGGCAGCCAATCAGTGATTCTCTCTCATCCCTGATATTTCTATCTCCCTCTCCGAAATCAATAAAAATATATCTGAGAGAAAAATAAAAGGGGGCGGGGAAGAGTATGAGAAACTAAGGGAGGGCTCTCATGGCAGTGCCACCTGTAGAGGGATCCGAACTGTCCTCCGAGGATTCGGGGGCCCCTTCCCTGGACCTGGCGGGGAGGGTGCCAGGCAGCGCCTGCAGAGGGACGGTTGGTGCTTCTGATGGGAGTGTTTGGAGGATGTCTCTTCCATGGCCGAGGTTCTGGGTTCTAATGCTGCCCACATTTACTAGAAGATGGCTGAGGCCACGCTGTTGGTGGCTCCGGTGATGCCCTGGGCACAATGCGGAGTCTGCTCTCACACACACCTGAGGCCCTCTGGCAGCAGCCCCGGGAGGGCAGGGGGAGGGCAGGGGGAGGGCAGGTTCTCTCCTGGGCTGCAGGTGAGGAGGAGGGCGCCAGATGCTACGTGATACCCCAGGAAGGTGAACTCAGGTCCCCGGGAACCCTCAGGAGAACTCCGATTTTCAGACCTTGACCGCGGACAAAGCACCTTTGCGTGCCTGCCCTTGTCAGAGCTCCGACTTTCCTGACACCGAGCCCTGCCTGGCCCGACCTGGGGAGCAAGGGTGCCCGCTCATTGGGCCAAACCACTCGCCACCCCACAAAGCTGCTGGATTCTCTTACAGGCTGCCCGCTCCAGAGCCAGGGGGGAGGCGGCAATGGGATCTGGGACAGATGTCTCCATTTCGCCTTGACATTTGGTTTCTGATAGGAGGCCTGGCGTCCGGCCAGCCCCACGAAGCAGGGCCCTGTGCTGATGTCAGGGGCCTTGTCTTTGGAGCACGCAAGCCCAGGGGCGGTGGGGACTGGGAGAAAGTGCTGCGTGAGCCTCAGGAGCGGCGTCACAGCTCGGGGCTACAAGGCACTTGAAGACACACGCACAACCTCCCAAAAAGGAGCAGTGGGGAGCCCACTGGGAGGGGGAGCAGGGGCAGGAGGGTGATTTTCTGCTGTTTATTGAGCTCTTTCCATGTGCCAGACACCGTTCCATCTTGTGTGCGTGGATTTGCTCATTAATCCTCACACCACCCAGTGAAGTGGCTGTTATTCCAGATGGGGAAACTGAGGCGCGGAGAATTTGAGGCTCTTGGCCACAGTCCTATGGCTAGTAGTTCAAGGATGGAGGTGGGATGGGAACCCTGACGGCCATGCACTCAGCGATGTGGGCGAGGAAGACCGGGGACCCCTGGAACTACAGGAGTGGCCACAGGTGTTGAAGGAAGGACACTGATGATTGGACCCAGTGCAACTGTCTTTGCCCTTTTGGGTCTGCCCGGTGCTGCCAGGCCAGCCGCATTGATGCCCAAGGGAAGGCATTCCAGAGGGCGCCATTTAAAGACTCAGGGCTGCCCTAGCTGGTTTGGCTCAGTGGATAGAGTGTCGGTCTGCGTACTGAAGGGTCCCAGGTTCCATTCGGTCAAGGGCATGTACGTTGGTTGCAGGCATATCCTCAGTAGGAAGCAGCTGATTGATGTTTCTCTCTCATCGATGTTTCCAACTCTATTCCTCTCCCTTCCTCTCTGTAAAAAATCAATAAAATTGCTGCGGTGCACAATGCGACATTCCTGAACTCTGGATTCTCACTGTCCCATCTCCGTGGAGCCGAGGCCTTCAGCTGCCTCCCAGCAGGGATGGCGGAGTGGACAGCTTCCGTTACCGCCCAGCGGAAGGCGCCAGTTCCCACATGCATCTGTGCCAGGAGCCAAAATTAAACCAGTGTCTCCCATTGCATGAGGCACAGGGCCTGGGGGAGGGGAGGCAAGGTGGTTTTAGGCAATGTTTGATACTTTGAATTGTAACCCATCAGTAGGTAGTGAGTTCCATGTAGTGACTCATAACAAGCATTTAAAAAAAAAAAAGAGGGGGGGAGAAATAAAGATGAAATATTATAGAGAAAATATGGGTAGTAGGGTATTTTTGTGAAATGTTATTTCCACATATATATGTGTGTGTGTGCTGAATTATGATGAAAAATCTTTCTCTAACCATGGGTCACGGTGAGAATAAGTTTAGAATCACTGTTTCGGGAGGCCTGGGGTGAATTTGTTTTTACTTTGCTCTTTCGACAGCAGGCCCTTGAATAATGTCTCATTTAATGTGGTTGTTTGGGTATCACGTTGATGAGATGGTGTAGACCAACCATATCAAACTCAAGGCCAGCAGGCCTCGCTTGGAGCCGGTGAGTTTGACATGCTTGGGGAGGGACTCCTGTGGATAGCAGTCAGCCTTCGGTAAAATCGGTTTTGTGATGCACCCTTCTGCAAAAGTTGCAGAACCTGTCCGCATGGTTCAATAAGGACGTTCCCTGCATTTATTTTTATCGTTTATGCTGATTTTCCATAGACTGCTGAGATACAGCGACATTTTTTTTAAAGTTAAATTCAGTGAAATGTCATTTAACCAAAAATTGATGTAAGTCTACTTAAGTGAGAATCTGAGTTGCATGGGTGCTTCCCGAATGTGGGAGTTGGGGAAACACTGCGTTAGCCGAAGTGACCGCCCAGGTTCTCCTGAGGGGGTCCCGCTCCGGCCGAGTTCCGCTCTCCTGCGGGCTGACCACTGGGGGCGGGTGACTGTCCAGGACCGAGGACTGGGGACCGAGGACCGGGACCTGCCTTCTGACGCGGGGCTTCTGTGTTTCAGGAACCTGGCCAACTGCGAGCGCCTGATCGAGGTGGAGGATATGATGGTGATGGGCCGCAAGCCGGACCCCATGTGTGTCTTCACCTACGTCCAGTCGCTGTACAACCACCTGCGTCGCTTTGAATGAAGCCCCGTGGGCCTGGAGCGCCGCATGGCAAGCCCAGGAGGAGCCTGCGG